ACGCCCGGTTTCTGCTTTCCCGTCTGGCCGTCATCTGTAGCGGGTATCAAGAGCTGCCCGGGGTCTTCCACGCGGCGGATGTCGTCTTCGAGTGCATCGCCGGATCCCTGGCGGCGAAGCGGGAGGTGTTTGCCTTTCTGGATAAGGTCTGCACCCCGTCGTGTGTGTTGGTGGTGGGGTCGGGGAATGTCGATGTGTCGTGTTTGGCCTCCGCGACGAGCCGCCCCGCGCGGGTGATCGGGATGCATTTTTACCCCCCAGCGAACGAAAGTCCGCTCGTGGAGATCGCCCGGCTGCCGTGCACCGACGACGCCGCGCTGCATCGCGTGATCGCGCTGAGTGATCGGCTGCACAAACACGTCGTCCTCACGCGCAGCGATGACGGGGGGCACCTCGGAACGCTGCTGCTGCTCGTGGCGTTATACCAGGCGAACGCGATGCTCGAGGATGGCTGCTTCCCCCATGAGGTGGATGGGGTGTTGAAGAAAAAGTTCAACTTCCAGGTGGGAATTTTTGAGTTGGAGGATTTCATCGGGCTCGATGTGATGGCGGCCGCCCGGGCTAATCTCCCCGCGGGGCGGCTGCCCGCGCGGAGGGTGTTTAACGTGGCGGACGACCTCGTCGCGGCGGATCTGGTCGGCCGGAAAAGAGGCGAGGGGTGGTATCGATATAAAGGGAAAATGGCCTCCTCCCCTCAGAGCGGAGGGGGCGATCCCCACCCCGCCTCGACGGATCCCGACGGCGATGTCGATGACGAGGAAAAGGCCCTCGCCGCCTCGCTGGTGCGCGTGAATATCGGCAGCATCCCTGCCGCCGCGCGGGGTGGAAGGTCCGACGACGCCCCTGATAACGTCGCGCTGCCGTTCAAACCGAAACGGATGTCTTCCACCTCGGCTTGGAATCCAATTGAGTGGCACCTCTCCAACCTCCTCCCCGGGGGCGAATGGCAAACCTTGCTCGCCACCCACTCGATGTCGACCGTGCACAACCGCGGCGTGGAGAAGCGGATTTTGTCGATGAGCCGGCGAAAAGGGTTTCAACGCCGCTACATCAGTGAGGAGGAGATCATCGATCGTATTTTGCTCCCCATGATCAACGAGGCCGCCCGGTGGCTTGGGGAAGGCATGGTGGAATGCGCAAGTGACGTCGACTGTGTGAGCGTCTACGTCTTGGGCTTCCCGGGATGGAAGGGCGGTTTGTTGTACTACGCGGATGAGGTGCTTGGAATTGATAAGATTTTGGAAAGAATGAAAATTATGCGTTTGGCATTGGGTAAGGATGTCTTTCCGGAACCATGTGCGGTCTTGCTAGAGATGAAGCAGCAAAAACTATCGTTTGCACGTCGTTTCAACGGTGGTCAAAAAGCTTAAAGGCTCTAATTTTACATTTATGAGCCTTCATTTCTTTCCAGTTGGCACTGAATTGTTACTGATTTGATGTTTGTGCTTGATGTTTATTTTTCTGCCGTCATGTAATACCTAGAAAATAGCGTCAACAAGCTAACCGAGCAATAAAGAGAAAACGAAAATCAATTCATTATACAATGTATACATACATATATATATATATATATATATACATATGTATGTTGTGTACAACTGTCAACAGGCAAAGAGGTGACTTCACATTATTGACGCATCTAATTACCATCCCCTTCTTGTCATTTTGTGCTTCTAGTGAGTTTACCGTTGGATTCATTCCGGTGCTCTTTCCAATAGGGAAAAAAACCATCGTTCACTTAGAGAAAGAGAAAGGGTTGCCATTGGCATTCCCTCCAGAATCATATTTACGCCGTACTGCGGATGTTTCGTCGTGGTCTTTTAGCTCGCGGCATCGTCGAGAAGTTCACGAAGGAGAATTTCACGATTTCGCGCCTTAGTAATGGCCTACGCGTGGTGTCGGTTGACGACGGCGGCGGCATCACCGGCATGGGGCTCTTCATGCTCAACGGATCGAAGTTTGAGGACCCCTCCAACGTCGGCGCGGCGGCCGTTTTCGAGTCGATGCCTCTCTGCAGCAACCAACTCCTTAGCGGGAAGGAAGTGAGCGAGGCGCTCGGGATGTTCGGCAATGCCTTCCGGGTTACGAACAACAAGGAGGCGATGTGCGTCATGCTCATGCTTCCGCGTTACCACCAAAAAGATGGGTTGGAGCTGCTCAATGCGATTTGTTTGCACCCCACCCAGAACCCCACTGAGTTCGAGGAGGCAAAGGCGAAGACGTTGCAGCGCGCGACCCTGATGGAGCGGGATGCCTCCGGGATGTGCTTTGAGCTCGTCCATGAGGCCGGGTGGGATGGGAAGGGCCTTGGCAACCCCACCAACCCCCCGCCAGAGGCCCTGGAGCGGCTTACGTTGGCGTCCTTCACGTCTTTTTACCGCCGTTGCACCCGCCCGGATCGCGCGGTGCTCGCCGCCACGGGGGTTTCCGATCACGAGGCCTTCGCCCTCCTTGCCGAGCGCGTGTTGCAGTTCGACTACGACGACGCGCCGTTCGACTTTCCCGTCTACCCTTACACCGGGGGGGTTCGTCTGGTGCAGCAGACGGAGGCCCCGGAGAGTATGCTCAAGTTCCGCGAGAAAAACCTCAGCCACATGGCGCTTTTCTTCCAAGGGATCCCAATGTCGCATCCGGATTACTACACCGTCTCCGTCATCCAGACCCTCCTCGGCGGCGGCACGTCCTTCAGCTCCGGCGGGCCGGGCAAAGGCATGCACACGAAGCTCTTCCGCGAGGTTCTTAACCGGGAAGGCGGGATCAACGGGATGGAATGCATCACGGCGTGGTATAGCGATGGCGGGTTGGTCGGGCTCTACGGGACCGCCCCGCACGAGAACGCGCAGCGGCTGTTAAAGCTGATGATCTTTCAAGCCGCCACCATCCCGCAGCGGGTGAGCGAGGAGTACCTCGAGATGGCGAAAAACCAGCTGAGTTCGCAGCTCATCCTGCTCGGCGAGAGTCGCGAGCAGCTGCTGAGTGATATGGGGTTTAACTTCCTGGTGCAGAATCATGTAATCACGACTCAGGAGACGATGCGCGGGAGCGCGAGCGTCACTTTGGAGAGCCTGGAGGAGGTGTGTGCAAAGATGATTCAGAAGCCCGTTACCTTTGCGGTATACGGTGAGACCAAGGGCATGCCCACGCAGGAAAAATTAGAAGCCGCTATCCGAAAGACTTACGCCTATGCAAAGGAAAGAGGCGACAACAACTAATGATGTAATCAGTTGTGAATCCGATTTCCTTTGTATGCGTATGCTTGCGTGTGTTGTATTATCGAATAGTATCGGCACTATGATGTGGACATGAAGCTGGAGACGATGGATGGTGGTAAAGGAAAGAGACCCGTAGTGCGAATCCTATTGAAAAGGCTCAAGGAACTTGAAGTGAAGAGCCGAAGTAATAACTCTTCTTTGCATTGACTTGGAGGGGATAGTATTTTTTTTTGGGCGCTACTTTGATTGAGTAGCTTTTAAAGTGCTGACATAAAGCACGGTATTATAATAAAAACTCCAGCACGCATTTACGCACGTCGATTTCAGACTTCGATTTTTCTTAGTACCTATCGGCGTAGTTCTGGATCTCGAAACTAAATGTCTATCATTTCTGATGTGTTTGTGATTGTATCTATGTGTGGGGACCGCGTAACTTGTAAGATTATCTTCTCCACTATTCTGTAAAAGTGTATTGAGTAGTGATATAATGTCCAACATCGATGATCCCGGTAAACATGTGTGGTCAAATTCCTCAAGCTTCTTAATTGCTAACGCATCCTCTAATTCCTTAATGGGTGCTTTCTTTGAGCATCAAAGCCTCCATGGGAAGCAGAGCAGCCTTCATGAGCTGAGGGAGGTGTGGTTGCGTGCTGCATCGACGTTTCCACCACTGCAGACGGTGCTTGTGTGGGGGCGTCAGCTCGCCGCCCTCACCGGGGTGGAGGAGTCCATCGTGTGGACCCTGCTTAGCATGCTGCTCATCCTTTTCGTCTACTACGTCGTTTTCCGCCCGGTCTTCGCCGCCATTTTCCGCGGTCGCCGCGATCTGATTTTGCTGATCGGTTTGCCAGCGAGCGGAAAGACGGCGCTGCTCTCGCAAATCGCCTGCGGCTCCACACCTCCGACTCAGACCAGCATCGAACCAAACCGGCTGGTGGTGGATGTTAAGAAAGGCAAGCGAAGCGTTCAGCGCACGGTCGTTGATTACCCCGGCAGCCACCGGCTGCGAAGCTCTCTGCCCGCGCTCCTGGAGAAGACCCATAAGTTAGTTGTTGTGATCGATTCAGTAACGATTCATGATGATCTCCATGAAGGTGCCCACACGCTTGCGGATCTACTCGTGTTTGTGTTCCAATCTCCCGCGTTTTCCGGGGTGAAAGGAGTGCTGTTTGCGTGCACAAAGAGGGATGAGCTGACAAGCTATTCCCTTAAAGCAATTCAGAAGTTATTGGAAGCGGCGATGGCTAGGGCGCTAACATCGCGGAAGGGCGATCTAGGCCGCATTGATGAGGTGCTGGATTCCAAAGGCCGATCCGTTGCAAAGGCATCGGGTCTCAAATCTAAGAGCAATGGGTGCGTGCTCCACGTAGATGAGCGGGGTGCCTTTTCATTTAATCAGTTAGAAGTACCACACCGCTTTGTTGAGGTAAGCAGCTTCCCCAATAAAGAGATGCACGCATTCAGTGCCCAACCTGTGCTTGATTTTATAATCTAATCGGTGGCTCCTCGCTCACCCTGTGTTGGATATATAAAGAATGAAACTAATTTTTTTCCTTATGAAGAATGGTGAGAGCCTGTTGACGTATATGTTTGCATATGGGGGTACTATATTAATTCAGAACGCCCATACACATGTGTGGGTGTGAGAGAACATTGTGCTAATAGCCAAAATAAGCAAACAAGTATCAAAATATCATCTGGTTCCTTTTCAAACGAAGAATAACGCATATACTCCATATTAACGTTTTCCTTTCCGTTTTGAATAATAAAAAAGTGATCTCTCTGAGGACTTTAGACGTTTGTCTTCTTGTTAATATCAATATTATTATCGTTATTATTATCCATCTAAACATATTGCCTACGGCGCGACAAATCATCTTGGTGGATAGTTCCATTACATCCTGACCAATTTTTCAAAACGTTTCCTTCGTGCACGTCTAGATTTTAAACGGTGCCGTCCAAGGGTGGAATGCCGGCCAATTCCATCAAAGTAACTGGGAGCTCGATACCAAAAGGTATACACTCTTCCTCTAAGAGCCCTTCAAGCCACACCCGCAGCCTGGCGATCAGTTCCCGCAAAACTAATCGAAGCAGTGGCGAGGATGGCAAAACTTCGCTCCGCAACGAGGTCTCTCGACGCGCTCAGGATCTCAAGAGGGGCCTGGAGGCCGCGATCCACGTCCTCGACAATGGGGTTAACCGAACCCCACTTCCGTTGCATCAGCAACGGACCCTCACGGGGTTGCGCGTGGGTGGAATGAAGCGCGCGCTCTCTGAAGTCAGCCAGCTCACCAGCGGGATCTACAACGAACTCGGAAGCTCCTGCTTCCAATCCTCCTTCTTGAACAGCAGCAGCTCGGGGAACATCGCGTCGCATCGAGGGAGCGAGAACGTCAGTCTTTTCCAGTCCTCCGGTGTGAAAAGTATGGAGAGCAGCATGATCGAACTTCCGAGCATGCGAAGCTCGCTAAGTCTTCCATCCATCACGAACGACACTGGGAGCCAGCCTCACAAGGGTCCCATCCCGCGGCCGAAGGGGATCGACTTCGAAGGCAACGAAAACGCGAGTTTGTCGATGAGCACCTCAAAATACGTGGCGTCAGCGGCGGTGTTTGGTGGGGCGGCCTTTAGTGAAAAAACACTTCCGATGACCGAGCAAGAACGCCGAGCGTGGGTGAATGCGAAGACCACCATCACGCTATCCGAAACCCCCACCTTTTTCCTCTACGCCCACGCCGACGAGGCGGTATCGAACGAGGATAAAGAGGAGGTCGCGATCGTGCTGGAGCGCAACAAAGCCTTAGAGCGCCTCGAGGAGGCCTACCGACTGGATGAGAACACCCGTTTTCAAAGCAAAGGAACCATCACCTTCACGAAACCGATGAAGTCCATCCATTGTGAGGTGAAACCCGTTGTGATGAAGGATTCCGGCGCCCTACAGGTGACACCGTGGATGCTCAAAGACGTCTTTGCGCCTTTGCAGGACGACGACGACGACGTAGAGGAGCACGCGGCCTACTACGGCGGCAAAGACGCCGAGCCGAACTCCGATGACGAGGAAAAGGAGCTCCTGAACGGGATGGACACCTCGCCGCCCGGGAGCTCCGGCAACGCGAACCTCAGCGAGCGAACGGATCCTTCCACGACCTTCACCGGGGCGGCCGGGGTCGCCGAACTCGGCGGCGCCGCCGCCGCGGATCAGTGGATGTTGTCGGAATCGTTGCCATCCACCCTGCGGGTGATGGAGCGGGCGGTGGTGCAGAATATCATGGAACGGCTGCAGATGGCCTATCGGGGGATTGAAATGACGCCGCAGGAAGGGGCTCGACTCCCGCCGATCACGCGGAGGCGAAGTGCGATGCCGCCGAAAGGCGGTCGAACCACCTCTGCGTTCGCGGAGCTTCAGTTCGTCGGCGGATCCCCCGGCTCCACCGCGGTGGACGAGGCCGCCCGGAGGAACCCGACCCCGGGGGAAGGGGTTCCGACAGGGGAGGTGAGCCCCAAAGCGGAGGCCCCGCCGCGCGATCTCCCGGAGCTTTACCTCTCCGGGGATATCACGACGTTGTGGCGGTATCACTCCCCACTCACACAGGGTCGCAGCGTGAATTGCATGGCGTGGAATCGAAAGCAAACGGACGTCTTGGCGGTCGGCTACGGCGTCCGCCGGGTGATTCTTCGACGGCAAGACCACGACGACCCGAACGCGAATCCGACGCCGAATACGCCGCATCCTAACACGGCCCCCCTCGGGGCGCGCGAGGATCGTCGGAAAAGCACCGGCTTTCCCAAAGGCGGGGCCACGACGACGACGAAAAACGGGGGGTTGGTGTGTTTCTGGTCGCTCAAAAACCCTTTGGCGCCGGAGTTGGTGTTGGAGCTGGCGAACGACGTCGAGATCACCGCCTTGGCGTTTTCCTTTCACCACCCAAGCCTGCTCGCGGTCGGGGATAGCGCAGGGGGGATCGTCGTGTATGACATCCTGAAGGATACCGTGGCGCCATCCATCGTGCCCGCCGTCTCGACAGGGCTGCACACGGGCGCGGTGTGGGAGTTGAAGTGGGTCCCCGGCGGCAAGGAGCACGGGGAGTTTCTGATGTCGACCTCCGCGGACGGGCGGGTGGTGCAGTGGGTGGTGGGGAAGGCGGTGGAGCGGGTGGCGCCGGATTTGATGCACCTCAAACGACGCCCCGGCGCGCAGGCGGAGTCCGTCTTCGTCGAGGGCGTCGACGCCGCCGACGACGCCGCGGGGTACCGGCGGCGTCGAAAGGCCGCCGAGGACGCGGTCCTCTCCCATCAAGCCGGGGGCATGTGTTTTGATGTCTGCCCGACCGACCACGCCGTCTACCTCGTCGGGACCGAGGATGGATCCATTTTTCAGTGCAAAAAAAGCCAGACGGAGGTGTACGACTTGGATTACGCGCCCCATTCGGAGTTGGTCTACCGCATCGCGTGGTCGCCGTTCAGTAGCAAGTATTTTTTAACCTGCTCGGCGGACTGGACGACGCGGCTGTATGAGGTGGGGCATACCACGCAACGCCTCACCTTCGACAGTGCGAATCAGGACGCGGTGCAGAACGTGGCGTGGTCGTATAGCAACGCCTTGGTTTTCGCGACGGTCTCCGGGCAGGGCAATCTGGAGGTGTGGTCGATCTTGGATAACATCTACCCGCGCGCCACGGTGCAGTTCGAGGATCGCCGTCGCCTGAAGACGGTGCTTTTTGCGGAGCAGGAGACGCCCGTCATCCTCGTCGGCGATGACGCCGGGGACGTGACGGTGTTCTTGCTCAAGAACCCGACCTACGGGCGACAGGACCTAACCGATGAGGAGCAAGAAAACTGGCTAGACGAGGCCGTTCAAAAGCAGATCACATAGAGTTTGACTTGGGGTGTGAACCAACAGGTGGGATAAGAATATGGCGCGAGGGATCACATGTTTCCCTCCCTAGAGGGATGCTTGTGAATTAGTTCCATCCTTCACGACATGATTTTCAAAATTGTGAGTTTGATTTTTAAAAGATGTATTTGTAAATAAGCTACCACTGTCTACATCTTTCCTGTCATATCCCATCGAACATAATCCTTTACTTCTATTGCATTCGATGGAGTCCACGTTTATGTATTTAACTATATATGCAAGATGAATAACAAAAAGATAACCTAGAGGGACGTCATCGCGGCGCCGTAATGAAGACCATCTTTGAAGTTTTAATGAGTTGATTCGATCTACCTTTTCGGTCTCCTTTGTTTGTAATGTTGGTTCCATTTGATCAGATGAAAATTTAGGTGAGTGATTCATTTGATTTTAGTTAGTCCTTGTGAAATGGAGGGCCAAAACCAGCATTTAGAAGACCAACAGGATGAACCAACAGACCTGGAAAGCGTTCAAAAGGAAAGCTTGGAGGACTTGCCTTCTCAGCCGCCACTAGATGCAGTGCCTGATATACTCAGGGATGCATCCCACATCGCATTTGACCCTGACGGTTCTCAGGAGCAATTCCATCACGACGCCGCGTCGAAGCCTCTGGAATCGGATCCGGACGACCCTTTGGTGCGCACGGTGAATGACGTCGAGGCGGATCTTTTCCCTCCGCGAAGGGACCCCCACCCCGATTCGCACGCGCGCACCGCCCCATCCCACGCCCCCTCTGCGCAAACGCACCCATCGCCTCATGCGATGCAGCCCGCTTCGATGACTTCGCCCTCCCCGGATGAAAGGGGCAAGCCGACCGCGCAGGCGCGCAAACCCTCCCTGCCGGATCGCCGACGTCCCTCTGCGGGGATCGTCCGACTGGCCTCGCCACCCCCCCCAGATGGGGTTGAAATCACCACCCTCGGTCGAAACGGCCTTCGCTACGCGATCGGGCCGGTTTTTAACGCCGAAAACCTCTCCACGCGGGAGGAACACGCGCGATTTCGTCATCGCAACCGCGTCTCCGCGAATTACCTCGGCCCTCTTTACGTTTCGGAGGATATCCATGTGGCCTGTCATGCCTGTGGGGGCCCGGTGGATCCGATTTCGCGGGTTCCCGTCGGGCCGTTTTTTTTCCATCTTCATTGCGTTCGCTGCGTGTTGTGCGCGCGGACAGGGGTGACGGAGCCTTTTCAGGCCGTGCAAGGGGAGCCGGTGTGTGGGGCCTGCCTCGCGAAAGGGTTCGCGCCCTGCGTGGGGAAGGAAAAAGGCCGACGCGGCGAGCGGGAGCTGTCTGGGAAGCTCAAAAGAAGGAAAGCGGGGGGAAGTCGGGGTGGGAATCGGAAGGGGAGCGGGCTAGAGAGGGAGTCGGCCTATCCAGGCGCGACGCGGCCAACCACCGCCGCCGCCCCTTCCCGGGTTGGGGAGGAGGCGCTACCGGTGTTGAATCGCGCGATGATGCAGGGCGCAACGGCCCCTTCGTTGAGCATCGGCCCCCTTCATAACCGTCGTAATACCAGCCGACGAAGTTTCATGCTCATGCAACGGCAGCAGTACTACACGCAGAGTGATCTCAACCTGATTGCGGCGAAGGAGTTGATGAACATGCCCGAGGAGCGATCCAATCGGCGTGGCTCGAAACGAATTGGTTTCAAAGGAGGGACCGCTTTGCCAGGCACGGGAATGAGGGCCACGGCCGGGATAGAGGACGAATTCCCATTACTAGAATGATAGACATAAAATTGCGCGAAAAGGACGTTGACAAGACTCATGAAACATCTTTAAATACACAACCAAATGGATCTTGTTCCTGAATTTTTCCGTAGACAACTTTATAGGTACCAAGCAAGCCAACTCACATGCGCATGCGATGGTTTAACCTATTGATGTATACTGTTAACTTACCAACTCACAGGAAGAAAGAAAAAAGTGAGTGTGGAGATGATGTCGTTTCTTTTGCGTCAAATGTACAGATCAATGTATCCCTAACTCTTGGGATGGATTCCTCCTATTTATTTCTAAAAGAGGGAAAATTAATGCGCTTGTAATCATCGTCATTGTGTCTTTGGACTAATTGATTCACGAACTTTCGAGGATCGTTTTAGTGCGTGTATCGGATCTTTTTATTTTTATTTTGACAATAATCCAATCCGTTTCCTTTCTTTTCAATTTATACAATGGTTTCTTAGTGTTAGCCAGTCTCAACCAATCGACTCTCCCCGCATCGCCTTCTTCGTTTATCGGGAAGGGAGGGAGACGGGAGGACGGCGTCGTTCAGGCTTTCCTACATATCGCGCATACGAGTTCGGCCTCTTTCGATCTTGGTCTTGCTTTTCTTCTTAAATTTTGCGTTTCCCTGACGTGTTCTAAAAAAAAAGAAAAATCCGTTCGGTCTTACTATGGCGGAAACCAAGTACGATCGTCAGCTGCGCCTCTGGGGAGAGGACGGCCAGCGAGCTCTCAGCCAGGCGCGCATCGTCGCCCTTGGCGCTACCGCGACTGCCATTGAGGCCCTCAAAAACCTAATCTTATCCAACATTGGCATGGTAACGGTTGTTGATGAGCGCGTCGTGGATAGTGAGCAGATCGCCACCACTTTTTTCGTCGAGGAGGGCGATTTAGGGCGACCGACGGCGGCCGCCGTGGTGGAACGCCTTAGTGAGCTTAACTCGGATTGCGTCGTTCGGGCGGAAATGATGGCACCCGCAGCGTGGGTTAGGTTGTTTGTCGCTGCTACGGCAGCCCTAGAAAACACGTTAGCGTTTTCGCCCTCGCCAGACGCGCAACAGCGCGGGGTTGCGTTCGATACGAGGAATGCCACCCCGAGCGAGCCGTGCTCGACCGACCAGGATAGCGCTACCACCTGTTTGTCGACCTCCTCCAAGGATTTACCGTCTTGTATTCTCGTTAGCAACCGGTATCCGGATTTTTCCACGATATCGGAGCTCGCACGCAGCGCTAGGCCACTAGGGATCCCCGTTTTGTGCGTCGAGGCCAGAGGATTAGTGGGGTTTGTCCAGGTGCATCTGGTCGATCGAGTCGTTATTCATGCCCGCACGCCAACCGAAACACCCATGGAGGACCTGCGTATTTTCAATCCCTTCTCAGCGCTTCAAGATTGGTTTGAACAACACGATCCGATGACCGAGGTGGGTCCTTTGGAGGCAACGGCGAGGAGCCACTTGCCGTACCCTTGTATTCTTTATCACGCATGCAAGCGGTGGCGGCGGCGAGCGCGAGAGGGCGAGAGGGCAGCTCAGGCCGCCCCACAATGGCCCTTCACGGCGGACGAGTATAAGGAAATTCGAGGGGAAGTGGAGGTGATGGCGGCATCCCTCGCAGGATTGCTGGGCGAAAGTTTTTCCGAAGCCCTCGAAATGTGCACGGAGCGACTGAATCGACCCTCCCTGAGCTGCCCACCTGCCCCTTTACGGGGGTTGTTTAACGATCCACGCTGCGAGGATCCTCTTCGGGTGGCTTCGTATTTTCCCCCGCATGCCCTCCATGGCCCGGTTGGAGGATGCAGGTGCGAGGAAGTGTTGGTTTGGTTTGTAATCCAGGGTATTCGAACTTTCTACCACTCCGATGAGCGGGAAGTGAGGGGTTTTGAGAACGGCGTGGGTGCTTCTCACGTGCTGCCTTTTTGCGGCCACATCCCAGACTTCATGACGACCACGGCGTGGTATAAGGAGCTTTGCTCGATTTATCATCAAAAGTTCCGCGTGGATGTGCAGCGCGTGACGGATTTCGCGTTTCAAGCGTGGTGTGGACGTCAAACCGAGGACCTTTCCGATGCAACGGCCGTGGCGCTTTCGCGTTGGCAGCACGGGCGCGAGGAAACGTACGAAATGCTCCACGCCCTGGCCACAGATGCCGTGAAAAATATCTGGTCGATCCGATTGGTGAGGTTCAGTCCGGGGTATGTCGTCGAGGACCCCGCCGAGGGCTCGGTGGCGATCTTGTCAGGGTCTGATGTGGCGATGAAAGGGGGGTCCACGGCGGCGCGCACGGAAATCCGCGCGGATCCCCGGATGGGGAGCCTCGCGAACGAGGCCGCTTGGCGACGGCGATTGGCCTCCCAAATTCGTCACGCGCTGGATGGGGTGGCGGATTCGTTTCCGGATGCCGCGCAACGCACTTGGTGCTTTGGGGTGAGCCTTTTGGCCCTTCAGGAATGGACGCGGCGGAAGGGCCTGGGGTTCTCTTCGGAGACGCCCGCCCACGATGGTGGACCCTCCTCACGCCCTATTCTAGAGGGCCACACCCACCGCTCCGATCCCGCGTCGCCCTCAGGGTTGTTTTCGTTCTTAAAGAGTCTGATCTTGCTCGAAGGCGTCGACGCTTGGCCGGAAAGCACGGCGGATCGGCATCATAAGGATGAGGCACGTTCGGTAAATCGCTTCATGCCCTCTCCAACCCAAGCTAAGGGTCTTTCGATGCCCTTGGGATGGGATCCGCTCGAAGAGTTTCTACGCAAAGCTTGTGTGGAGTTGGAGCGGGTGGGTTCGAGCGAGATAATCTCCCTCGCGGCCTCCGTCGGGGCCGTCGCCGCGCAAGAGATGATGAAGTTGATTCAGCGTCGCCGCATCCCGGCAGGACATCCACTCCTCTACAACGGGTACGACAATCTTATCCTAGCGTTGAGGACCTAAACCCGGCGCCAGAAGAGGGATCCGATCGGATTCAAAGAAACGGTAACCCATCTGGAGTAAACACGACGGTGAGAAGAGGTCTGGCGCGATGTGATGAAGTTTCTTCTGTCATGCTAGGCTGCCTCATTCGCCTCCCTCCCCCCCCCCCACCCACCTTTCCCTATCGAGCAGGGTGAGGGGTGATGGCTTGTCATCCTATTTCATCTGATCCCTTCTCTTCCGCCATTTTTTTCATCTTTGGGTAGATCTTTTCATTAGTTCCCCCCCTCCCTCCCTCCCTCCTTTCTTCCCCCTTTTCCAATGAGCTCACGCGTTCCGCTTCCGTTGCGGGTGGTAAATGGCTCGTGGCGGGTGTCCGACCCCCGCCCGGCCGCCACGCCGATCTGGGCGGTTTTCAAACCCCCAGGGCTCCCGCTTTTCCCCCGCGCGCAGGTGTTGGCGGCGAAAGGGGATGGACGTCGGCTCCTCACCCTCCCGCACGCGATCGCCCACCCGCCGGAAGGGGGTTCCGACGATCTTCTCGCTCGCGCGGCGGCGATGACGCCGCCAGGGGGGGGCGTCTTCCTCGCGTTGCCGCTCCCCTCCCCGCTCCGCCTCCGCGGTGGCGTCGCCGCGGCGGCGGTGGAGGGATGGGGGGCCCGCGCGAAGGGCCTCACGCTGCTCGCGCGCGAAAAAGGCGGTGCCGCGTGGCTGCGAAATGCCGCGCGAATGGGGCTCCTCGAGGGCACCCATCGCGTGCTCTGCCGCCTGCCTCGCGGGATCGCCGAGCGGGCGAGGCGAGGGGCCCGCGCGAAGGCCCACGCGTCGGATCCCCACCCGAATCCGTTTATTCGGGAGCATCTTCTCGCCTCCTCGTCGTCCTCCTCCGCTTCCGCGTTTTCGCCTTCGGCTGCGGCGGCGTCGATGTCCTTCTCCGGGTTGGAGATGGGGGTTGGGAGGCGAGGAGGGAGGGATTCACCCGACGCGGTGGGGATTTCGATCGTCGGGGCCGATGGCGCCCTCCCCACGGGTCTCCCGCACGACCCCCTCATCAAAGGTGGGTTTATCCACTTCGGGTTGGGGGTGCTGCGGTATACAGGCACCCTCTCCGCCACCCTCTGTAATCGAAGCGACCTACGCGGGAAAACGGAGCGGATCCTTCGACAAAAGCGACGTTTGAATGGACTTTTTTTGCCCGTCGAGTTGGGGGATCCTCGGCGAGACCGGGGGGAGGACGCGTCGGGATATCCAGCTTCCCCGCACGGGCATGCCTGGATTCCGGCGGAGCACCTGTTGAGCGTCTCCTTCGGTGGTTCTGGGGATTCGCTAAGCGATAAACCCACCCGTCGTCGGCGGAATGCCACGGCGGACGACGAGGCCCCTTTTCTCACCCGAGAGGTGCGGATGGAGTACAAACTGCTCGCGCTTTCACCCCACCCGAACAGCGACTGGGCGCTCTACGAGGTCCGTGGCCACGATTTAACCAGCGAGGAGATCCAGACGCTGTTCGCCGCGGAGGGGTTTTTCGTGTTGAATGATTTTGAGAATGATCCTGCGCTCGCAGCCTTGATGGAGCGTGTGGCGGGCGAAATACGACGCACCCTACCCGCCGCCCTCGCGGACGTCCCGATGAATATTCAGCACCTCGTGCGAAACGGAAATGCGGAGGAATTGGTGGCACTCCCACTCATCAAAAGGCCCCTGGAATGCGCGGATCATCAGGCCCTTCGTGAGCTCCTGGAAAGACGACGAGAACTCCTGCAGAGCGGTGTTGTTTTTGAAGACGATCCACCCCGAAGGGCGGATCCGCACGCGGCCTTGAAAGGAGGAACCGAAGGCCCCGAGGACAACATCGATGAGGATGCCGAGTTTTTTTCCAGAATCGAAAAGATGCTTCAAGCCTACAGCGCGAAAGGGGTTTCCAAACACACCCCCAACGCACCTGATATCATTGGAAAGCTGCTCTTCGATGCGCTTGGCCGTCTTTCGGGGGCGGAGCAAGAGAGAATTGTGAATATTTGCCTTGGTACCGGGGTCGAGTGCATCGGAGTAACCTACCCGGACCCGACGGATATTCCCACGATCCATTCCATGCAGCAACTCTATCAACGCTTTGAGCAAACCGGCAAAGGGGAGGGTTTCGATCCCACCCAAACGCAGCATGCGGAGGGCATGAAGTTTATTTCGCACTGCAGCCTAGGGGCGGTCGATAGCACGGGTTCGGTGCAGGTGGAGGTGGGGTGGCTTCTTTCTCTGCCTTCCACGAACCTCCCAAAAGGGGGAGGGAAACTCGCGCAAGGGATGCCGGGAGCTCTTTCCGTGGAGGTCTCCGTTTCATTCGCCGCGGCTTTGCTTTCCCCACATGCGTCTGCCGCGGAAGAAACGGAGGAGACAAAGGAGGAGGGAACGGGCGTCGTTAACGCTGGCGAGAAGACATTTGCCGAATCACATGAACCAAGTTCTTCGGCTCTCCCTCCACCTCGATTCCCTCTTTCATCGGCGCCCCAGTTGGAAACGAACACGGGGTGTGAGATGGATACGACCGCCGTGCACCCCCTCCACCACACCCTCACCCCCATCGCCTATCAGGAGTGGTTTAGGGGTTGGTTTGAAGCCCAAATCACCCTTGAAAAAGGGGGGGAGGGATTCGGGAAAGGTGAAATGCCCACACCCCTGCGTGTGTTCAAACGGAAGGATGACACCCCGCTCTTTATTCGAGCGGAGGAGTTAGGTGATTTTGTTTGTGTGGTTTGCGGCCGCACGGGGCATCCATGGCAGTGCTGCCCACAACGGCATGAACACCCAATTCTCGCCCTCCCCCCACTTCCTTCGCTTCCCACGGAGGCGGAGAAGAAATCCCCCACGGGCGAGTCTTTGAGTAGCCTGAAAGGGTTACCGGTGATGACTTCGGAGCCGTTGGGGTCTTTGGAGGATCTCGACGGCGCCTTGGCCGCCACGGAGACGGCAACCTCCCAGGCTCTCCTACGCCCCTCCACGCCTTTCACCGGCGGTGAGGTGGGGAGCCTTCTCGGGCGCGAAATGGGTTTTTTTTCGTCATCCGAACCGATCGCGGTTCCCAACCAGGCCCCCACCTTGCCTTTTCATCCGAGTGCGCTTCACCATGAGCGGCGGAAACCCCCTCCCCATCGCCGGGTGCTGCGTTGCGCGTACTGCCATGGGCGGCATCCCCTCACGGAGTGCCCGAGGCTCTCCGGGGTCGCGGAGCTCTCCGGCGAGGCCTTCAACCCCGCTCGCGCGCGGGAGCAACCCGAGAAGCTTTTTTGCATTCGTTGTGGTCGGATGGGGCATCTGTTCACGTCCTGCCCGGAGATCCCGGAAGGGTTGCATCCGGGGACGCACTGCCCGATTTGCGAGGTCGCGACGCGGAAGATTCGCCACACGGCGATGCAATGCCCCCGGCGGATGACGTTGCCGGCGGGGTATCTTCCCAACGGCGTTCCGCAAGAGTTTGTGAATTCCACCCAGCGAGCGGAAAAGCTTCGCTCATCCTCCTCCACATCCACCATGCCGAGGCGGGGGAGGTCCATGCTTATTTCGGATAGCTTCGTGAACTCTAAATTAAAGGGGTAGGAGAGGGTTGTTTATGATTTTTTTTTCTTACTCGTGTTGTTTCCTTTCCCCAGTGTTTGTGTGATGAAAAGCGGGTGTGTTCTCCGTTTTTTTAATAATTAAAAAAAAAATGAGGAAATGGTGTGAGAATGTTATTGGGCGCACATGAAATTTGTCAAGCTGCACAGAATGCGTAGGTCAAAAATAGGTACGATGGGAGTTTAAAGGGGAAGAGGGGATGTTTGGAAAAGCGCAAATGCAAAAAAATCGTTCAGGTATGACCCTTTTCATGGACATTTTAATGTATATACCAACCTGCACCTTCTCCAGTCTATGATCAGCATCATCACACATTGGAAAAAGGTTTCCTGAAAGTAGGAAATTTTAGTCATAAACCAGACATTTGCCCAGAATGTGGAAAGGCGTAGCTGAGAAGTTAAAAAATATAGCGGAGGAGATCACTTCACCATACCTTGACGACGATTTTGATGAGGACGCAACCAGAGAGGAGGACGTGCACGGTACCACGGAAACCACACACCCTCACCAAACCGCGGTGAGAGAGAGAAGCACACGAGACTATCCCATCAGACAGGGTACCGCACCGTATGATTCGACGAAAGGGGGCTATTATGAATTTACGGAGGGTGCTTCCGCGCATGATACGGGTGTGAGCAGCGCCTCTGCCAGGAGAGCACGCGCGAGTGGCGAGCAAGCCCTGCCCACCTCCACGGGAGACTTCGAAACTCCGAAGCGGACGTCGAAAGACCGCGAGGCATCCTCAACCACCACCTCGACGCCGCTTCCGGACCCCAAAAGGGTAAATCCATCGGTAAGCGAAGGGGTTACCGCGTCGGGTGCGCGTATTGGTGATGGACGCGACGGATCGCAGCCACACGGTCGGGCTTCTGTTGGCAGGGGTGTGGAAAGAGGGGATGAAGATCTGGTTCATACCCTTCGCCGACAAATTGCCGCGTATGAAGCCGAGAAGGCCGAAATGGAGCGGAGTATTCTGCAGTATCAAAGTGAGGTTCATAAATCTCATAAGGAGACGGTAGCGTACTACGAGGCCCAGCTCGTCGCGCTTCGAAACGAGGTTGGGCGTGATACGGCGATCCAAACCGAGTATGCGTCTCTTCGTGAGGAGCATCACTCCCTGGAGAAGAAGGCGGCCAGTCTGATGAAGGAGGTGCAGGATTTGAGAATGGCGCTGCAAACCCAAGAGCAGACCAAGGTAATCCCTATAAAAGAAGCACTGAGGGCTTTGCAGCGGCAGTATGACGAGCTCACGCTCGAAAACGATGAGCTCCGGGATCGCTGCGATCGTCTCCAGGAATCGCTGGAGAAGGCGGAGGTGGAACCCACGGGACGTTCTTCCCCGTCAAAGGATGAGGATATCGCCCGACTTGAGCGGATCATCGAAGTCCAAAGCGAGGAGCTTTGTAAATTAAGGGAAAATGCCGTTTCTCAATCATCGGTTCCGGAGCCCTTACCGGGCGAAAGGGCGGCTTCCTTCGAAGGCTACCGGGAGGTGGAGGCAAAATGGCAGGCCGCCGCGAACCGCGTGCGGGAGCTCGAAGCGCAGGTGGAAACCCTCCATCGGCAGCGCCATCCGTCCAGCGCGACCTCCCAAGAATCCTCCCGGCTGAAGGATTCTTCGACGGACAGGGGACGTGATTTTCCCGACGGCGCGTCCGAACCGGCAGGTGGCGAGGCCGACGACGCGTGCTGGACGAGGCTCCACGCGCTGGCGGACTCCCTCGCCGTGGGCGAGACCCCCCCTCGGGAGGTCCTTTTGGACGTCCTGACGCATGTCCAGACGACCCTGGCGGCGCGTCGATCCGAACCCCCGACGGCCTCGACGGAGGCCCGTCGTGCC